GTAGGAAGAGGAGACGAAAGCAGACGACAGAACATTGCTAGAGAGCAGGAAAGGCGGTGAAAGGAGACAATTTTAAAGGAGACATTTTTTTTCCTGTTGCTACCCGGATTCGAACTCGGGGCCTTTGAATGAGAGGCCAACGCCTTAACCTCTAGGCCACAAGAGCCCCCTAGTTAAAAAGTTGATTTTCTTGAAAATTAAGTTACATTCCAAAGCTGGGGTGATATTGTTAGGGCTACAAAGGTAATGGTAACAGCTTTCTTCATCTTTTTCAATTAAGAATAAATGTTAGAGCAAGAATATATTATTATAATCAAGCCATTCTCTATCAAACAAGAATACTATATTTATAGTAAAAATGCTGCAACCAAAATACGCGACAATATGTCTTATGCACAAATGTGAAGAAACAAATAACGCAAATACGTCAAAATAGGTGTGTGTGTCAACATGCAACAAGACACAATAATCCGTAAGGAGGGTCCGAGGAACACCGATTCCTTGTCACTGTTATACCTGCTTTGATTTATGGCGCGCTGCATGTAGTCTGTATCTTGTTTTACGACCAGGTAACAGTTACACTTTGTACGAGGGCCCAACTTATACTGTAACACTCGGGATAGGGAACACGCGGGCGTCTCTAGGAACGTAGAATTATGTACTGCCCACTCCTGGCTAGTCTTAAAGGATGGCCAAGAAACGACAGCTGAATAGTTGGCTGTATAAAGGCGGTTTCTTGTGTTCATCGTATGCTTGGAAGTACTCTGGTGATATGAGGATGGGAGCATAAAGAGAACACAAGGGCATTATGTCTTGAGAGTTTTATGTTGGTAGCATCATTTTACTACTACATGACGTATGGTGGCTTGATTGGTTTATGTTCCCTAGCGTAGTTTTATCGTTTTGAAGCTCAGAACCTGAGATACTATAACGGCATTGCTGTCCTTATTCTTTATAATAGATATATAGGACCCCCAAAGAGTTACTTTTAAATGTAGAATGTTTACGCCACTATTATTGACTCAATATGGATCATTTAGGAGGCGGGCTTTGACCTTACCTGCCAGGGCCAACAGGGGCTGAGAGGGACACAAGGTCTTAGAATGTTTTTTTAAAGATACTAGAAAAGACTCCGCACGATATAATCGAACTTAGGTTTTCTGTATGAAACGGCAGTGTGCCTAACCACTACACCACCGACGCTAATGCAGATTTGTTTAATTGACTTGGTGCGAAAATTTAAAAAACCTCTAGCAGGCTGGTCAGAAGTGTATTGAGGTAAAAAGACCCGCTTCAGAAAGCTCTGATTCTGTCTGTGTCCTGTTCCTAACACAAACGAATGTTATACTTACGTGCCTCTTCTAACAACTAATGCGAGGTAAAAAGGCGCGTTAAGCGAAACGCTCAACCAACGAAAAACTACATAGGCGTTTAGTACATATTCAGTATAACTTTTATGAAAGTCACGGAGATGAAAAGAGCGTCATGGACAAAGGAAAACCATATATTCTGACAGTGATACAACAAGGACGATCAACAAGGTGATGGTGTTAAGAACGGTTACCCAAACAGAAACCACCAAAACAACAGCACCAAGAAAGTGCAGTTACAGCAAATACTAAAATCAATTATATTAGATCTATACACAATAAAAATGCACAAGGACGACAGCGAACGGCCTTGCAGTATCATCATAAATATCTTCCCTCACAGCCAGCACCAACAACACCACCACGACCGCCTATAACACCAACTACAATAACAGTCACAGTTAGAGCACATAGAAATATATATTGTCATGTTTTAAAAAACAGCAAACACAAATTATATAGGGTAAAAAAGAAACTAAATATATTTTTAAAGAAAATTAAAAGACATATTCAGAAACAAAATCCATAACTCTATCGAGTAGTGCGTGATTTAATTTTAAGTCACTTCCAAGCAAGTGTAGTAACAAAAAAAAATTCATATCTCAGAAAATAACAAAACACCTCAGAAAACCTGGCCTCAGTTGACAAGGGCGAGAGGTGACAGACGTCATAAGGTTCTGAGGTTTATGACTTCACGTACGCTGATGATGACAGCGTGAACAAGCCCTTTATAGTGTGTGTAAGTAGTACTGACATGTTAAACCCCCCCCCCCCCAGTGAATAGCGTTTCTGAACTTTTCCAGTTGGAGACTGTTTCTCCAAGCCAAAAATTAAAAATAGACTGCGATAGACATCCATAAACTGGTCACAGAGTCACAGAAACGTGTGCCGTTTTGTAATTAGCGTCCAACAACCACCTCAATGGCTTTTAGGTCATTTAGAAGAGTGTTTGTCAACCCTTTTTAAAACAAGTTGTTATTTTTACCACTTTTAAATAATGCTGAAATTTGTGGGCCGCCCACGTATAAGTTTTTGAAAACAGAGCATCAAAATGATACTTGCCACTTTTTGTATAATCTTCACGGCCCAATAACATTACAGAATCCGCCACGGTCACGTAATAGCGATATAGCTCTGGTTCGACATATTATTATAAAAGAGTTATTTTTTTGTAATGGTTTCAGTCTTAGAACTACCTCGATTCCTTTTACACCGTTTATCAATTAAGAAGGAGGGATGCAACGACTGTTCTTGCCAAGGCCTAGGACTGAATGGGATATTTTAAAAAAATGTAACATTAGTGTGCGGTGCTAATCCGTTTACTTTGGAAATGATACTTTGTCTTGAATGGCTTCAGTTATTGAGTACGGTAATTTTCCTCTAGATCTAGCAGTAAAGCTCTATTTTCTAACCGTCCCTCTTCCCCCTCCCCCTTGTATAGAAAATATATTATAGAATGTATACATAGTCATATGTAAGGTTGCTCTTTAGTGACGACCACTCTCTGTCTGTCCGGGTGTCTGTCTGTATTTCTGTCCGTGTGTCTGTCTGTATGTCTGCCCGTGTGTCTTTCTGTCTGTCTGTGTGTCTTTCTGTGTGTCTTTCTGTGTGTCTTTCTGTCTGTCTGCGTGCCTGTCTGTCTGTCTCTCTGTCTCATAACCAGTTATTTACACAGCATCTGCATATTATCTCATACGTCTCATTAAAACATGTGTGCCTCCTAATCTCTCAGTATATCTCGCAGCCGACTAACCATACAGGTGGACCACATCGTCTTGTCTGCCACGTCTGTTGTTTTGAGGAGCTCATCATTCATTCACGCCCTGACCACAGGGGACTGTGGGCGACGGGCAACTAAAAGGGAAGGCCTTTACTTCAGTCAAAGTCAAGTTGTAATAGTTTGGGGGTAGTACTTCAGGGAGACTTCTAGCCCATTGTTAAAGATGCTGGGAATATATCTCAAGACCACTTTATTCTTTTCCTTTTTTAAGTCTGTTTAATCGCAGCTCGAGTTCCTTCCTTTTACGTTATTTGAGTTTTTTTTATTTTGGAAAATATGTTTGACTATGTCTCAGTTATCGCAGCTCTGGCAATTGATGACGAATGGCCCTAGCCAAAATTTCCACCTGTCTAAAGCAACCAGTTTTCTCCTCGACAAAGAGTGGCATTTTTAGACAGTTCCGACTGTAGTTGCGTGTGACCTGTTTTGTCATTTGCTGGGGTCTCCCCTGGCCTGCCAGCAATCCACAACAGACGCATAACGCAACACAAACAGACAGACTGCGGCTTTAACATCCGGCTACATTTGTGATGGTTCGGAATAAATATTTGCCGTGTCGAGATTGTTCGTAAGTTCGATCGTATTCATGAGGTACTGTTTATTTGTGAGAATAAGATAGACAAAAAAGCACAAAAAATTGTTATACTTAAATGAGAAGTTAGCTGTTCTCTCAGTTGCCGACAGTGAGAATTAAACATATAATTAAACTCACAGAAACAAATTCTTCGTTATAGATACACACGTACTCTGTGCTAGCGCCTTCTTCTATCACCTCAGTTTTCTCCTTCCCTGTAAATGTGTTGTTTTTTCCGCTGTTGCTTTCTTTGGGTTGAATGGTTGAATGGTTGAATGGTTGAATTAAGTTTATGTGATTTTTTATAGGATTAAAATCGTAGGAATCTTCAGATATTTTTTTCGTATTGACATAATTGTATGACTTCCCCGAGCGTGTAGTTTTGAGTTACCTTGCTTCCTGTGCAAATGGTGGAAGACGTTATTCAACTGTGGATTCCACTGTCAACAATCACGAATGATAGAACATTTTTTAAATGTTAGATATATTATGGTCGTCTGTTTTGGCCTCCTTTGTTTTGAATTTACCTGAGAAAATTAAATTCCCCGTATTGATCAAAGACTGGTCTTCTGGTTTATGATTAGGTAGTCAGGAGGGTCTTCAAACCTCAGGGTTGTACGCTTATTGACAATGGATCTGAATTTACGTACTATTTAATGTGGATAGACTAAACAGCCCACAATTTATGTATACTTATTTACAATCATTTGGTCAAATTTAGACTAACCTTTGCTCTCCCCCGGTCCTATCGGAGACGGACGTTAAACTATGAGGTCCCGCCCCTTAAATAACCTAATAGTGTTGATAGAGGCGTTAAACCCATACCATTTTCACATTTTTTTGCTCTCCCCTTTAGTGTTTCTGATATGATTACCCCAGTAGACCTGATGACATTCTAAGATAATCTCAACTTCCTGATAACCATAGAGTGAAGGCTACCATTTTACAGGTGTTAAATTACCAACACCCTGATAAGGTCTTTTGCTCTCTATTATTCGGGGTACCCTTCCCTCCTGTGCAAAGTAAGGAGAATTCAAGTAAAATGCCTTTCTCAAGAAACGGAGTATTCTCAATATCTATAATAAGATGTGTATTTGTATTAATTTTTCTTTAAATCTATGTTAACCATAGCGCTCTCTCCCTTTTAAAAATCTATTTGACAACATTTAGCATCCCCCCCTTTTCCCTGTGACGAGGTGTGGGAGGCATACTTGTTGGTATGGTAGTGAAATTAATAGACCCACTCAATGTGGACGGGAAGTGAAGTCCGTTTACTTTTAAAATACCACACGTGCGCATGATTTATTCTCAGAAGTACGCCTGTGACATATTTACCAGCACTCTAGTGCATTGTGTCTACCTTCAGTACCTTCTTTTGCCTTCTTCTTTACCTTAGCAACTGTCCAAGTGCTGCAGCAACATATTTGAGTGCAATAGAGTCTTAACTCACACAAACGCCATTTTGTGGAATGCCTTACAGAAACGGAGAAACGATTTGATAGTAATAAGGCATTAATTCTCATACCAACGACTTTTTAGAATGACTGACAGAAGTGGAGAGAGGCAGGCTCGAACCTGATGGACAAAGCATGCGGCTACGGGGATGGATGGACAACAAACAGGCACGGTGTGCTGCCGTCAGTGTGTTTGGTGTGTGTGTTCTCTTCTATTTTGCCTCCTGGTCAGCCCTGCAGAAAGAAGGTAATATGGTGAAGTAATCTGTGCTTCCGTGTTTCCATATTTGACGAATAAGAGAGAGAGAGAGAGAGAGAGAGAGAGAGAGAGAGAGAGAGAGAGAGAGAGAGAGAGAGGATGGTGGGGAGGGGGGTTGGACATGGGTGTGAAATGGAGAGAG